CGCATTGCTCTAATCTTCTGTTCAACTCCTTAATATCTGGATTTCTTCCCTTTGCTTTGGCTTCTCGGCACTCTAGTGCAGTATTCAGTTTCTTCTTGACATCTTTTCTTACTCCTCTTTTTAATGATGTTTTGGATTCTTCCTGGATGATATTTTTTATATCCTCCCACAGCTCATTTGATTTTCACTCAGTGTTCAAGGCCTCAAACCTGTTCCTGAGATGGTCTTGAAATTCAGGTGGGATCGACTCAAGGTCACATTTTGTTTTCCGTGGATTTGATTTCATTTTCCTCAGCTTCAGCTTGAACTTGCATATGAGTGGTTGGTGGTCTGTTCCACAATCATCATCTGGCCTAGTTTTCACAGCTGATATTGAGCTTCTCCAGAGATTTTTTTTTCCACAAATGTAATCAGTATGATTCCTATGCATACCATCAGGTGAAATCCATGTTTATAGCCTGTGTTTATTGTTTCTTATAAAACATTCAATGAATAAGAAAATTCTATCATTCTATCTCCAGCTTCATTTTATCACCAAGTCTTATGTTTTCTGACTACTGATCCTTCTTTTTTTTTCTGTTCCCAACTTTTGCATTCCAATCACCCATAATTAATACATCTTGATTGCATGTTCAATCAATCTCTGACTGCAAAAAATGATAGAAATCTTCTATTTCCTCCACTCTGGCTCTGGTTGTCTGGGAACTTAGCCTTCAAAATTATATCCTTGTTCTTTAGCACTTTAAAGAGATCCTTTTGCCCTTTGGAATAAATCATTTAATGTCTTGACTGCTACTTCCATAAGTACTAATTGTAAATAGAAGTAAAATGAAATAAACTACTTCAGATGTTCTCCTTTCATTGTGATATCCATTTGTGAGGGTTTTTTATTTTCTCTTGTTGAATTGTGGAGCCCTGGTAGCATAAATTCATGTGACCCAAATGTCAACAGTTTCAGCCACTACTCTGCAGGAGAGAAAGATGAAACAGTGTCCTTTGGTTAAGATTTACAGCCTAGGAAACCCAGTGAAGGGCTACCATGAGTCTGAATGGGTTCAAAAGCATTGGTGTTGGGGTTGGTTTTATGTTGAGGTATAAGCCATACTGAAGATGTATCATTTGAGTTTCACCAGTAAGTGCTTCAAATCTTTTTCATTTCCCGCAAGCAGACTTGCAGTATTTGCATATTATAGGATGTTAATGATTATGCCTCCAACCCTGATGCTACATCCTTCTTCATAGTGTCAAGAGGATGATTTTCAAAGAGGTCTAGGGGCCTCTTTGAGTAAGAATTAGAAAGTTTGGACTTAGATCTACAAGAAAGACACCAACACTGGGCCAGAACAGACTATGAAGAGGTCAGAAAAGTCTGATCCTATCCTAATCTTGTGTGTGTGTGTGTGTGTGTGTGTGTGTGTGTGTGTGTGTGTTTCAGTGGCAGTCGAGTTTACACAGCTTTTTGGTGGTGCACAGCTTCTGATAGGTTCATGGTGGCCCTTGAGGTTTGCTCTTCCCCATCTCCTTTTTTATTAGATGAATCTGTTTTCCTTGTATTGTTTTGCCACTGTTTCACACCATTGTTCAGAACAGTTTCTGATTTATTTACTTTGTTAGTGTTTCCTTTGCCATTCCCTATTGCTATGGTCCAGTTTTCTTGAGTTATTTGGTCAGACTACAGATTAAATAAGTATGGTGAAAGGATGCATCCCTGACACACTTTCCTGATTTTAAACCATACTGTATCCCTTCTTCTGTTTGAACAACTGCTTCTTAGTCTAAGTACAGATTCCTCATAAGCACAAGTAAGTCTTCTGAAATTCCCGTTCTTCTCAATGTTATCCATAATTTATTGTGATCCACATAGTCAAATACTTTTGCATAATCAATAAAATATAAATAAACATCTTCTAATATTCTTCATTTTCAGCCAAAATCCATCTGATGTCAAAAATTATATCCCTGTTCCAGAGTCTCTTGCAAATCTAGCTTGAATTTCTGGAAGTCTAGCAATTTTTAAATTATCTTCACCAACATTTGATTTGTGTGTGGCATGAATAACATTTTTCATTAATGTCTACATTCTTTTGGTTCACCTTTCTTTTGAATAGGCACAAATATGGGTCTTTTCCAATTAGTTGGCCAGACGGCAGTCTTGCAAATTTCTTGGCATGTACAAATGAACACATCCATTGTTGTATCAGTGTGTTGAAACATCTCAAATGATGTTTTATCAGTTTTAGCAGTCTTTTTTGCCAGTGTCTTCAGTGCAGCTCGGACTTCTTCCTACAGTACTATTGGTTGTTGATCATATGCTACTCATTAAAATAGTTCAGCATCAACCAATTCTTTTTAGTACAGTGATTCTCTGTAATTAATTCTTCTATTTTCCGTTGATGCTTGCTGCATCATTCAGTATTTTGTCCATAAAAGCCTTCATTATTGCAACTCGAAACTTAAATTTGTTTTCTTCATTTCTTTCAGCTTTAGAAATGCTGAGCAGTCCTTCCCTCATCATTTTCTAACTAGGACTTTGCACATTTCATTATAATACTTTATCCTCTTAGTTCACGCCCTGAAATCAACTGTTCAATTCTCTTAATTTCTTAATTTTCATTTACATTCTCTAAGTTCCAGAACAGGTGTCAGCGTCTTTTTCTGACATCCATTTTGTTGTGTTTTTTTTTAATTTCCTTTGCTTTCTTCATCTGTGTCATCCTACAGCTTATTTAGTCTTTAGTTATAAGTGTTTGTTATTAGGTACCATCAAGTTGAGCTTGACTCATAAACACCTTATGAACAGATCTGGACCATGTTCTATCATGCGCCTTCATCGTCATCTCTGATGTACTTGAAACTATTGCTGTAGTCACTCTGTCAATCCCTTGAGGGTCTTCCTCTCTATTTTGCTGATTTTTCCAAGCGTGATATCCCTTTCCAAGTAATAGTCTCTCCTAGAAATATGCCCAAAATATGTAAGACAAAATGTTTCTATCCCTGCCTCCAAGAAGCAATCGGGCTGCATTTTCCCCCCAGATATATCTGTTTGGGTTTTTTTAAATACAAAGTACTCTTATTCAGTACCACAATAAAGGCATCAGTTGTTCTTCTGTCATCCTTATTCATTGTCCAGTTCTCAGGTGCATAACAAGAGATTTTCAAGACCATGGCCTGAATCAAACGCACCTTAGTTGTCAGACTGACACCATTGCTCCTCAGTAATTTGGAGAGTTCCCTGGCAGTGGATTTGCCCAGTGCATCTCCTGAGTGCTGGTACCAAGAGTATTGATTGTGGATCCGAATAAGATGAAATTGTTGACAAGTTGAATCTTTTTTCCATTTTCCATGATGTTATATTACCTATTGGTCAAGTGGTGAGGAATTTTGTCTTCTCTATTAGGGTCGCTATGAGTCACAAACAATTCAATGGCACATAACAACAAACAACGACATATTAAGATGGAATCCATATTTAAGCTGTGGTCTTTGATCCTCTGCAGTGAGTGTTTCAAGTCCTTCTCACTTTCAGCAAGCACAGTTTTGCTACCTGCATAGCATAAGTTGTTGATGAGTCTTCCACTGATCCTAATGCCACATTCTTCTTTATAGAATTTATTTTTTTGAATGATTGGCTCAGCATACAGACTGAATAGGAATAGAGAAATGATACAACCCTGACATACTCCTCTTCCAGATTTTAAACTGTGCCGTGTTTCTTTGTTCAGCAATAGTTTCTTGCTCTAGGTTTAGATTTCCTATGAGCATAATTGAGTGTACTAGTATTCCCATTATTCTCAATGTTAGCCATTATTTGTTATGATCTACACAGTCAAATGCCTGTGCATAGTCAATAAAACACAAATAGGCATTCTGGTATTCTATGCTTTCAGCCAGGATTCATCTGGCATCAGCAATGATATCCCTGGTGCCACAGCCTCTTCTAAAGCCAGTTTGAACTTCTAACGGTTCTCTCTTCTTATATTCTAGCCATTTTGGGGTGATCATCAGCAGTATTTTGCTTGCATATGACATTTATTCCACCTCCAAAATGGCTTGCCTCCGGAAACTCTGTGTACGAACAGTGCTCAGGCCTTTCGTTCATATATAGGGTTGCTATGAGTCATCTATGTCTCTATGGCACCTAACAACAACAACATGGCATTTAGGGTCTTGTTTGAGAATTTCCACATCCTGTTGTGTCACCTTTCTTGGAATATGAACAAATGTGGATCTCTTCCAGTCAATCAGCCAGGCATCTGTTCTCCTCTAGATTTCTGGGCATAAACCTGTCCAGGGCTGAATTTGTTAATTGAAACATGTCAATTGGTACTACACTGATTCTTGGAGCCTTATTTTTTGCCAGTGCCTTGAGTGCAGCTTAAACTTCTCCCTCCATTGCCATTAGCTCTGGTTAATGCTCTTGAAATTTTTCAGTGTCAGTCAGTTAATACAGTGATTCTTTGTATTTCTTCCATCTTTTGATGTTTCTTGGATGATTCAAGATCTCTCAGTATTGCAACTTGAGGCTTAAATTTATTTTTCAGTTTTAGAAATGCCAAGCAGTTTCTTCTCCTTTTACCCTCTTTGTACATTCCATTATAATACTTTGCTTTATCTCCTCAAACAGCCCTTTGAAATATTTTTTTGTTAACAAAATATTTTATTTTGGAGGTGGGGTTTTTTTGGGGGTTTTTTCCATTTCAGCATTTATCCCCTTTGTTTTAGCTTCTTGACACTTAGTAATGTCCAATGTTTAATGATTGGCTACACTAGAATTTGCTTTAAGGAGAAAAAAATTGTGAATATTACAAGCCCGTATTACTCTTACTTTAATCCTGAGTGCTTAGATTATACAGTTAAGCACTGTGATAGCCTTTGTAGAATAGATTAAATGAATTTTTTTAATTATAAGGCATGAGACATGTGTGCTCGTGAACATTTATAGAATACATTATCATTTATAGAATACACTGCTTTTTCACTCTTTTTAAATGTCATTACAGGAAATTGAAAGTCGGATTGACAGAATCTGTGAAATGGGGGAAGTGATGAAGAAAGCAGTTCAAGTGGATGATGACCAATTTTGTAAGGTTCAAGAAAAACTAGCCCAATTAGAGGTAATATTATTGCTATATATGTGCTAAAGACATAAAACTGTTTCTCCTTACCTTTTCCAGGAAAAAAAAATGTAATAGACAGCAAACAATGAAAATGTCCACTAGAAGCTGAAATATTATCATGTTGGGAGGGTGGAGAGAGCTAGAATTTCTCACCCATCATAATAAGTCAATAAACTGATGATCAATAGTTATAGTAGAGACATTTTACTCAGAATTATGCAACCACCTACCAAAATAGATAAATTTAAAATGTAAAAGGTGGTTGTCTTTGTGGGAATAAAGCCATGGGACACCTCTTTGTTTTCTAAGTCAAATGTAACTACTATTTAATTATCAACATGGTTAGGTTCCAAAGACAACACAAATGGAGGATGACTACATCATTCCATAAATGCCAAATTCTACATTACTTAACTGCCAAACTGCTGATTATCATAGACCAGTCAAATTGGCACATAGCCTTAACTGCTACAACTAGCATTATTCTGACTTTACAGCTCAGTGATTTTTACTGATAGCACTATGTCATCAACATAGATTTTTCTTTTCCTGTAATCCTCATTCAAAATGTCAGATGACTCAATAGTTGGGTAAGTTGAAAGTATAGTTCTTGATATTTTAAAAACAGTATTACAAAGAAAGGCCTGAGGTATTGGTGTGCCCATAAAATTATTAAGTAAAAAAACCCCAAACATTTCAGTAGATAATTTTTTGTGCTGCATGTTATAATGTTCTGGCACATTCCCTTTGCTAAATAAAACTAAAACCTTTAAGCCCACTGCTGTATTCCAAATCATATTTGCATGTTTCAACAAACAAATGAAGTCTTCAAAGTGCTCATTAGTCTTTGCTAAGAGATTTGGAAGACAGCTACCTGGCCACCTGGAAGAGATCCATATTTGTTCCCATTTCCAAAAAAGATGATCCAACAGATTGAAGATGTTACCTAACAATATCATTATTATCACATTCAAGTAAAATCTGGCTAAAGATTATTTGAAAAACAGCTGGAACAGTACATCCACAGGAATCTGCTAGAAATTCAAACTGGATTCAGAAGAGGCCATGGCATGAGGGATATCACTGCTGCTATCAGATGGACCTTGCCTGAAAGCAAAGAATACCAGGAGGATGTCTATCTCTGTTTTATTGACTATGTGATTGACAAATAAATTATGGACAAGGGAGCATTGCCTAATTTAAAGTCAGGAAAAGTATGGGTCAGGATTATATCCTTTCTCCAAACCTATTCAGTCTGTATGCTGGACAAATCATTCAAGAAACTTGACTCTGAAGAACAATGTGGCATCGGGATTGGAGAGAAGACTCAACAACCTGTGTTATGCAAATTACAGTAACCTTGCTTGCTGGAAATGAAGAGGACATAAGTATTTGCTTCAGAAGATCACAGACTCTACCTTTCAATACAGAGTGCATTTCAATATCAAGAAAAAAAATCCTCACCACTGGATCAATAAGTAGCATCATGATAGATGGAGAAAGAATTGAAGTTGTCAGTTATTTCATTTAACTTGGACCCACAGTCAACACTCGGGGTACCAACAATCAAGAAATCAAGAATAAATCAAAACATGTTGCATTAGAAAAACTTGTTGCCAAGGACTTCTCCATAGTGTTGGAGAGAAATGGTGTCAGTTGAAAGACTAGGGTGCTCCAAATTCAAGCCATTTTTCTTTTCAGTTACTTCCTATGCATATTCAAGTTGAACAGTGAGTAAAGATGACGTGTTGAATAAAGTTGGACAGTAAATAAAGAAGTATTGATGCCTTTGAGTTGTGTTAGAGAAAAGTACTATATATCCCATGCTCTCCCAAAAGAACAAACAAGTCTGTCTTGGAGGAAGTGCAGCCAGGATGCTCCATTAGAGACAAGGATGATGAAACTTTATCTCACATACTTTGGGCATGCTGCCAGGAGGGACCAGTTCTTGGAAAAGCACATCATTTCAGGAAAGTTGGAGAGTCAGGGAAAGAGAGAATGACTGTCAGCAAGATGGATAGACACAATGACTGTAGTAGTGGCTTGAGCATATCAGAGATCCTGAAGATGGTACAGGATAAGACAAGGTTTAGATCCGTTTTTCAAAGGGTCACTGTGAGTTGTAGTTGCCTTGATGGCATCTAACAACAAAACATAGGATGAAATAGAACTGCCCCATAGGGTTTGTAAGGTAGTAAATGTTTACAGAAGCAGACTATCACAGAGCAGCTGGGGAGTTAACTAACCCATCAACCTTTCAACCTTTCAATTAGCAACCAAGTACTACTGTCATGGCCACTCACTAGAAAGAAATTAATTGGGTAGTAATGTGTAGAATGCAGGGAAAAAATACTGACAGAAAAAGATAGAGAGAGTCCTTGCCTATTAAAACTCAGACTTAAGTAAAAGAAATAAGGGTAGTACTTTTAAGACATGAAAAATAGGGAAAATACCAGGAGAGATATACAAAGTACTTTAAGTGTAATATAACCTAGGTTATATTACACTTAAGACATGAAAAATACCAGGAGAGATATACAAAGTACTTTAAGTGTAATATAACCTAGGTTATATTACACTTTAAGTGTAACCTAGGTTATAGTACACTTATATTACACTTAAAGCCTGAAAAACTGGTTGGTGAAGCCTGGAAATGCAAGAGTTTGCCAGAATTTCTTGCAGAAACTAATAATAAAATGTACAAAGTATCCTATATGGAAGTTAAAGAAAATAGCACAGTCTCAAATAGAAATTAAAAGCTAGTTGAATGATAGAACAGCCTTGTCATGTTATCCTTGATTTTCTCTAGTTAGGGAAACAATGTAAGGGAGTGTGGGGTAAGTTTTACATGTGGACATTAAATGTAGACCCAGCAATACCACATCCTGGTTCTGGGTATGGGTAAGTTTTTTATGCTCTGAGCCAGTGTCCTCATCCTCATCTTAATAATATCTCCATATTGTGAGGTAACACGTAAAGCACTCACATGATACGTGGTCATGTGTGCTCAATAAGTTGTACCTTGTTGAAAAGATGATTAGGAATTCTAAGGAAAGAAGAAACAATGGTAAACATGTGGGATCCCTGAAGACTATGACAGAAAAATCAGTCTCAAGTGGAGCGAGTCTTTGTCTTTATTGTTGTAGACCTAACCCTTGGTATGTAGAAATTAGTAAATTTTATTAAATGAATAAATAGTATTTTAGGAAATTATCAGCTGGTCGGGTTGTTTCTTTAGAACTTTTAATATATACTTGTTGCTTTTATTGTTGTTGTGTGCCATTGACTCAGAAACGACTCATAGCCAACCCTCCAGTGGGTTTTCAGAGACTGTAAATCTCATGGGAGGCGATTGCCTGCCTTTGTCCTGTGTAATAATAGCTGGTGGATTGGATTTGGACTGCCTTCCTTTGTGTAGGCAGTGCAACTCCTTACCACCAGGCTATCAGAGCCCAAAACTTAAGTATTCTGATGCAATTTGACCCTGAAATGAGCATACCTTTTTCTCTTCTTTTTTTTTTTAGCTTGAAAATAAGGAGCTTCGAGAATTATTATCCATCAGCAGAGAGCCCCTTCAAGTCAGGAAAGAAGACTCAATGGACATGGCTTCTCAAGCCATCAAATAACTTACCTTCTGAATTTATAGTACTGGTTGTCTTTCCAGGAAAGAAGTTATTATCTTTTTATTGGAGCGTTGGAGTGTTGTCTGTTCAATGTCTTGCTTCAGGCATGATTTAACATTGATTAAAGGTACCAGGTGGCAGTTTAGAATTACTCTTCAGTATCAGCTGCCTACAAAACAATTTTTCAGTTTGATGGTAAGAATACATACTGTATGTCACTATTCCTTGCTTCAGGAAATATTTTTAATTGTCATAGCTGGGACTTAAATTTATATAAACTGTTTTCAGTCCATTTTCTTTTTCCCCCATCTCTGCAGTTTTATTTCATATGTTTGTAAGATGCAGTTCTAAAAATTTTGAAACATGGGAACTTTTAAAATATATTTCACATAAACCTGGACTTTTCCCAATATGAAAATGATTCCACAGACTAGACTGGCATATTCTCTAACTTGTAATATCATTTATCTTTTCTAAAATTTTAAGTCTCTCTGGTGCTAGAAGTTGTCACTTTGTGGCTTAGTGTCTTCACCCTTAAATGTGAGAGGATTACTACTAGTCCCCAAGAAATATATTTGAAAATCAGTTATCAGTTATAGTATGGTTGTCATATTTCATAGAATGCTGAGAAACTTGTCCTTGTGTATATATGGGCACCCATGTGCACACTTAGTTCAAATACTCAAAGTAGCTTTTGTTCTGTTAAGTAGTCAATATTTCATCCATATAATACTTCAGAGTACTCATTTTCCCAATACAAAGAACACATAGATTTTTTTTTTTTACATCATGGCTCTTTGTTGTTGCTGGGGCTGTTGGGAATGAATCAAAGTCTCTTCTGATCCATAATTCAAAAAAATGAAAGGTCAATCTTGTGCCATCCTCATAATCTCTGTTGCACATAGGCCCATTATTACATTGTCACAATATCAGTTCATCTCAGTGAGGGTTTTCCTTCCTTTTGCTGACTTTATTTATGTTCTTCTCTGGGGACTAGTTCTTCCTTGTAATATGCCTAATGTATGTAAGACGAAGTGTCATCATCCTTGCTTCTAAGTCGTACTGGCTACTCCTCTTCCTCTACACAGATTTGTTTGTGCTTTGGAAAATTCATGGTATATTAAGTGCTGTTCCCCAGGACCACAATTCAAAGACATACTTCTTCCTCTACTTTAGTCATTGTCCAACTTTCATGTGTTTGTAACGCAAATAAAAATCCTTGGGTAATGTCTTTGCTCTTTAGTACTTTAAAGAAGTCCTTGGCCGTGGATTTGCTCTAAGCCGTATGTCACTTGATTTCTTGCTGTGTTAATTGTGGATTCAAATGAAATCACTGACAACTTCTTTCTTCTAAATTTCATGATGTTGTCTCTGGTCCATTTGTGAGGATTTTTGTTTCCTTTATGTTGAGGTATAATCTATACTGAAGAGATTCGTATTCATTTTGTAAAGAGCTTGTTGCTTGCTTTTACCGAAGAGCTTTCTTCATTTGCTGTAAGCTAGGTTGTCTAATCTGTGTTTCCCAGGTTATTGATGAGATGAGTCTTCCTCCAATCCTCATGCCACATTTTTATTCATATATTTGTTTCCTAAGTTATTTCACATTTTATAGTTAATAACCATTACCTAGATATCTCTCATTATGAGCACTCAAAGTTGGCTTTCTTTTTAGATCCATTTTTCACAATGAAACAAAGTTTATCACCTAATGAAAATTCCCCTATTCGTAATACTGGCTAGACAACAGCAAAGCAGTATTGAGATGCCCACACTGACTGAGATGCCACCACTATGCCTAGTGGTCCACTGAGCATACTCAGCAATTCATTGCCACATCCCAATTTACCCATCAGATTTAGTGGCATCCACTTCCTGAACAACATGCCTCTGGAAACTTGATCAACTCTGAGAAATAACGATAGTTATAGGCTTCAGGTCTTTTGTTCATAGGGTCACTGTAAGTCGTGCTCAACTTGACGGCAATCAACAATATCTTATGCTACCTAATAAGAAAGCTCTGATGGCTTAGTGGTAAGAAGTTGGGCTGCCAACCCAAAAGCATGTGGTTCAAATCTACCAGCTGCTCTGCAGGAGAAAAAGGGACAGTCGGCTCATGCTATTTACTGCCTCTGAAAAGCCACTGGAGGGTCAAGTATGATTTTATTCCAACTCTATGGTATAGAACAACATACAGTCTATTTTGATTTTTACATAAATGAAATTCTGAAACAAATTAGTCAATATTTTCCAGTAACACTAAGCACCATACGGATAATAGTATTAAAAGTAATTGCTTGCTAGTTATTTATGTGATATAAAATTTCTTTTGTACAGGTAACTCCAGCTAAGATTAAATCTCTCTAAGATGTCCTATAAGTGATAGATCTCAATAACAGCCATGAACTTTAGCTAGAAGCTTAATCTGTAATAAATATCTATCTCATCAGGTTTCTCAAATTCATGTTCTATGTCCTGTGTAGAATTTGAGAAGTCCATGTACCACTCTGTGGGCATTTTTATCTGTGTCCCATGTGCAAGTAAATGTTTAGTCCACTTTGCCTTAAAAATATGCCCTTTAGACCTTCTAAGAATCAAATCCCTATGCGCATCCAGAAACTTCTCTAACAGGGTAAAAAGGGAAGCCACAGACTGGGAAAAAGTTTTTGGTAATGACATGTCAGACAAGGGACTTATATCTAGAATTTATAAAATACTCAAGCACCACAACAAGATAAAGGAGAATAATCCAATTGAAAAATG